AAACCTTCATGCAAATGAAGAAACCAAAAAGAAATCAATCCCAAGGGACAAAAAACAGGATAAAAAGGGGCTTCTGACCCACTGAATTTGTACCTCTCCACCAGGAACATGGGGGCTGCTGAAGAAGCCCCAGTGCCGTCCTCAACGGGAGCACTCCTGCTCAGCCTGCGGGTCCCCTTGCTTTAGGCCTTTTCTTTTTATCATAATAAATGCTGAAATCACTTTTAGCACCAGGAGTGTGGTCCCGTTTTTAACAGCTCCCACCCCCTTTACTCTGAACCCCTTTGTTGGGTGATCTCCTCGTCTGTGATCCCAGAGTGACCAAGGAGAAAAACTCGACTGGCAGAAAGTAAGGGACCCAAAACTGGTCAGCAACAGTAATCAATAATGTGGGAATGTTTATTCCAAAACTGTTATCTCTGACAGGGCAGGCTTCTCAAATAGGATAATAAGGAGAAAGGGGAAGCTGTACACAAAATACAGAGGGGCTCAGGGCTGGCACACATCACAGGGACATGAAAAAACACCTTGACAGCCACAGGCATCAAGAAACTCCATGAAACTGCAACTTGGTTTAAGGACACAGGCAATTCTGCACTGGGAGATGTATTTCCTAATAACCCAGAAAGCCATTCTTAATATTTCATATGATTAATGTTCAGTGTAAAGATGGTTTTAAAGCTGTAATTCAAGATAAAAGCTCCACGGAGGGAAATAACATTTAGGTCTGGATCTACGCAATTTATTTATTGACAGCTTTACTTTCATTGTTGATTTGCTTAATAAAATTTAACACCAGAAAAGTGACTATGGACATAACTGCACAGCGAGGAGATTAAAAGGGAACAAGAGCATTAAATTATTAATTCCAAACACTACAGGATTTCAAGTTTGCCTTGCTGCTTAAGTAAATAATTTATAAGAACGAACAAACAAACTGAAGAAAGTTAGTGAGAGTGCAAAGAGCCCCCCTGAAAACCTGGTATTTAATTTTAAATTCTGAAAAGCCTCATTGATAACACAGTGTTTAGCTGATACCAGTGAGGATGCTCATTAACTTGGTGAGTGTTGGAGATAACACTGCAATTATACATATTTTTAAATATGCGACACAGCTGCAGTCCACAGAACAGGCAAACTATTCTTTTGCTAACACATTTCCAACCCATTAAATTAAATATATAAGATACTCAAAGCATTGAAGTGTAACTTTCTTAAAACAACATATATTGAGAATAATAAGCATTGGATAAACTCCAAAATAATCCTCTAAAGTGTAAGACTGTAACTTCCGCGGTGATTCAAGGAGCATATCCAAGGAAATCTTCAGCCTGAGGTGACTTTAAAAAAGAGGAAAAAAAGAGAAAAAAAAATCTAGTTCTAAAGAGAAAAATTAAGAGGCTTTCAGAAACTTGCCTGCAATTAAAAAAAGCAAGACCAGCTCCATTCTCAGGAAGCTCCCAGACACACTTAGCCACTATTTGCTTTAACAATTCCCAAAATTGGCTTTACATGAAACCTCTCCAGGTTACAGCAGAGGATGCGCTGAACTTCAGCTGCACCCTCTCACACAACTTCAGCAAATCCAAAGTATATTCACTTAAGGACATAAAAATCCACATTTAATCAGCAGCACAGACTTACCACAGTGTCCAGAACGTGCCCCAGGACTCCTTCTGCAATCATGACTCCGAGAGGATGCTCTGAAATACTCGGGCGGGCAAAGCCCCACCTTTATCTGTGTCATGCCTTCCTTTTAAGGGAGGGAGGGATCGTGGCCAGGAGCAGCAGAGTTATTCACCAGCTCCTAATGAAGGCTTAATTGCAGCAGGGAGCAGGGATGGCAGCTCGGGTTATTTGTGACAGAGATGTTTGCTGTCCCACCTGCTGCTGCCCAGGGGCTGCAGAAACAGATAGCACTGCAGCTCCTTTGCAGTGAAAAAGGAGTAAAAAGCCAGGAGTAGAAGGAAACGCTTGTGGGAATAAATAATTAGATTTTAATGTAGCAGATGATAATGAAGCAGCTGTAAAATCAACACCTATTAATCTAATTTACTACAAGGTTGTTGAAGCACTGTTGAATGCAATAGAAGATTTTTAAAGTGTTTTTACTCAACAAAAATCAGACTCAGTTCCTTAATTTTTGTTTGACACTTGGCATGGAGTAATCTGGTCTTCTCCTGCCTTTGACTTCAAGCTTTTCACTCAGGTAAAAGCAATTTCTATAGCTGTGATATTCAGTGGCTCCATGGAGAGATGGATTGCTCCCAGGCCGCCTTCCTTGCAGAAAGCAGTGCTACCCCATTTGCTGCTGGAGAACCTTCTACTGCCTTTCAATCACCCAGTTTGGACCAGTTTAGGCCAGGCTGGATGGGGCTTGGAGCAACCTGGTCTAGTGGAAGGGTCCCTGCCCATGGAATGGGGTGGAAAATTTGAGTTTTGAGAGTCCCTTCAAACTTAAATCACTTCAGGATTTTAAGTCTCAGAGTCATCTTTCCTTCTGTGATGGAAGGTAGGTTTATTTGTCTTAAATCTCACATTATCTTGGCATGTGCACATGTGCATTTTCATGAATTATCGCTTAGGGCCTTCACCCCACATGGCAGCATCTAACAGCTCCCTAAAACGTGTGCGTGGAGAAAGACAGAACACATGCGGTGATCCACTGCTCCCAAGTAACATAAAGAAAACAGATTTCAAGGACTTGAAGGTAAACCTGAGGAGGAGCTAAATAGCTCCTGTTCATTTTCTGGCATCTTGTTTCCCTAAAGCAGAGTTTTCATGGACAGCAGCACCGTGGTCATGCAGCAACATCGCTGAAGTACTGAACACAAATCTGTGGTTCATACCTGCAGAGAGTCCCTTAATCACTGCCCTGTGAAACCTGCCAGGCTGGCAACTCTCAAGAAAAATAACTACTCTGTACATAAATGGAGAGCTCAGATATTCCTCTAAAAATGTTAACGCACAGTTGAGGAACAAACCCTTCTGCCTGGTCCTCTTAGGTAGAGACAGCCTGGAAAAGAGAGATTTTTGGGGCCACTTTACTGTTCTCAAGTAAGAAATTTGGTATCCCAAACATAAGACAAAAATGCTCCCTGAAAGTTCTTAGAGTAATCAATATTTCCCAAAGACAAGAGCACCTCCGTGGGCAATAATTCACACTTTCCAGCATTCCTGCACTCTTGCTTTGAGAATACACATACAGCTATTCCAAATCTACAGGAAAATGTTAATATTTACTGTATTCCAGCAAAATCAGGGCTGATTCCTGCAGAGATTTCAGTGAGAATTTGCCAAACTGCACAGCACTCCTGTCTCTCCCAATTTACAGAAGTTATGTAATTCTGGGTTTGGATCAGACAGAGCTATTTGTGAACAACCAAAAGAAAAGGTGTTGTTATGGATCCTGGCCAAAGAGCTCTGTGTCTTTCTGGTGAACAAGCAAAAGCTTTACATCCTCAGGATCAGAATCCTTGTCCTCTATGCAGCAATCAAAATGCAGCAAGCACTTGTATTACTAACAAGTGGGAATTCACATAGATACAAAAATATTTTCCATTGTATTGAGAGCAGTGAAGAGACTGGGAAGAAAAAAGCTTCTTCTGCATCTGAATGAGCCTTCTGATTGTTTAAAATGAAGTGTAAAGCCAGAGAGCAGCTTTAAGGAAAATGGTGCCTGAAGAGCTAGGGGGATTTGAGCCCTGCAGCCCCCACTGTGCACAAAAATAGCTAGAATGGGATTTAATTCTGTGGATGGCAGGAAATCACTTTCTCTCCCAGAACCTGTGAAAGCTTGAGAGTGACTTTTTGTGGGTGAGAGCAGAATTGACAATTGTACCTGTGAAATCAAGTGACATCAGAGAATCCCAGAATGGTTTGGGTTGAAAGGGACCTAAGAGCCCATCCCATCCCATCCCATCCCATCCCATCCCAGCCATGGGCAGGGACACCTTCCACTGTCCCAGGCTGCTCCAAGCCCCATCCAGCCTGGCCTTGGGCACTGCCAGGGATCCAGGGGCAGCCACAGCTGCTCTGGGCACCTGTGCCAGGGCCTGCCCGCCCTCACAGGGGAGAATTTCTTGCTATCATCTCATCTAAATCTCTCTTCTCTCATTTTAAAACCACTTCCCCTTGTCCTATTACTCTATCATTGGCTGACAGCACTGAGATCATCATTACTGGCCATGAAATCCCTTTTTAGGAGCAAAGGGTTTTTGGCTAAGCTTTGGGCACACCTTGTAACAACCTGGGATAGTGGAAGGTGGCCATGCCCACGTCAGAGGGTGGAAGAAGATGGGCTTTGAGGTCCCTTCCAACCCTCACCACTGTGGGATTCCATAATTATTATCCCACTGCTGCAAGGCAGTGTCTTACTGGAGGTTTGTGTGTGGGGTTTCAAAGCTTAGACTCCACAGAATCCAATGGTTAAAAGTATGATGGATCAAAAAGGCAAAAAAACCTAATACTTACTCTGTGGAGTGCTAATCATGACCATTCCCTCATCTCAGCTCTCCCCATGGACTGCCAGAGAGAACAAAATGTCAAACACTGTCGTAGAACAGCCAGGGCACTTACTAATTACAGCAGCTCAAACAAAGCTTTACATGGAGATTCACAAAGAACATTTCTATCCCCAAAATCCCTCTGGATTTCTCTTGCTCTGGCTGCAAGCTGTTAACACTGCTCCTGTTTCTGAGCAGGAAACTGGCACTGATGCAGCTGCACGCAGAATTTCATTTGCTGTGCATGACCTGTCTTCTGCACCCCTTTATTGCTTGTACAAAAATCCACTTCTCCCCTTTTTATCCAAGCTGCAGAAGCCCACCTTGAACTGGGATATGAGCTGGTGTGTGGCTCCTCACTCCCATCATGTTGGGATTTTGGATTCATAGCCTAAATGGGAACTGTAAGATAACATTTGAGCACTCCTCATCCTCAGAATAACGAGCATGAGCCCAACAAATCTGAGGAGAAATGCAGAGAATTATCTGCCATAATTATCTGCCAGAGAATTATCTGCCATAATAATACAGGCAATTTGTTGTCCTGATTTTGGGTTATATGGAGGCACAGTAAAATGAGCAGCCACAGAAAATCTTTAGTGCAAGAAAGGCCAATGAAACTCCTCAAACTAGACTGGAGTCCTACCCAAAGCAGAGGTGGGATAACTCCTGTTACACACAAATCTGGCAACAAAAGCACGTGTGGAAGAGGTTTTACAGCAACTTCTGTGAGCCAGGGAGAAGCTTGAGAAGAGGATCCATGTTTGAAAAGAGGATCCATGTTTGATCAGGGGATCCATGTTTACCCCTGCAAGAATTTCCTACCAAGGTCGCTGACATAGAAACCAAGAAAGAAAGAAGGATAAATAAGAGAATAAATAAGAGAAACCTGCAACTGCCTATTCCAATGAGTACTTTGTCTCTTCTAACCAATGAGTAAAGTATAAACTTATGAGCTTTATAAGAATGCATAAAAAAGATGCCTACTAAGATAAAAGAGGGGTTTGAAGCTTTCTGAAAATGGAGTGCATTGTTTTGTATTGTCTCAACTACAACAAGCACAGACATCACAACTTCTTTGAGGTTTGGGTCTTTAAAAACCCTGGGAAAAGGATTTTTTAAAGAGCACTTATCTGTGGTGACAGCTGCTCAAGTTCTGTGTGCAGGCAACACTTTCTGGTTCCTCCTTTCTTCTGCATTCAGGAAGGCAGGTGCACTGCTGGGCACAAACCAAATGTCACAGAAGATCCCAGCTCCAGTGACTCTTGCTCATCTTGAATGGCAGATATTGTGGAATGGCATATTTCCATCTGGCTGCTCAAGTCACAGGGATTTTTAATTTAATATTAATAACTGAAAGCAATTTTTAGCCACTTACCTAAGGATGTAGCAGAACATTCCATCAAGCCTACAATGACACACTAAAGGACACACCAAAGAGAAAAGAGAACACAACCTGGTGCAAAATGGCAATATTTTGGCAATTAGTGATGCTGGAACTGTTCAAAAGGGGATTTTTAATGGAATTTAAATCTATCAGAAGCACTTCTGACTAGTCTGAGTGTCAAACTAGTCTAGCTGAAAGACAAAAGTCTCCTGGAAAATTTAAATGTGACCCTGCAAAGACCTAATGCTGTGGAACACTGAAAATGGGGATACAACAAAGCAGAGAGCTGTGGTCCTGCCCTCCCTCATCACCCATCCTGCTGTCCACAAGCATTTAAAACCCTTTTTCACATTTTACATGCCTAAATGCAGACACTTGTATTTCCTTTCAGTGTGAGAGTGCTTTGCATTTGAAGAACAATGAAATCATTCCGATGTGCATGTCAGCCCAGAAAGCTCTGAAAGTGCATTTTGGTGTGAAATATTAATAGGTAGGAACAGAACACTGGCAGATTCTTTCTGTAAAAGCCCTAAAAATAAGAAAAAAAAATATAAATCCACCAGAAAGAATTATGTAATTTTCAGCTTATCAGTGTTGAGTGACTAGAAATTGTGCACCTCGGGCTTTTATGCACTTTATTTGATGGAAATGTTCTGAGAAAGTCTTCATCAAGCTTTAAAAATGAGGAGAGGTGAGGAGAAGAGATGAATGCTTGAGATGAGCTAAAAAAGCACCCAAAACCCAAAGAAAAAGCAATAAGGAGGCTCTAATCAACACAGCAGTCAACTGGAGACTCA